TATATTACTATATTGCTCAATTTAAATAATTTTAACGACTGACTTATTTGAATTTTTTTATAAAAGATATGAGTGCGCATTTCACCCTCATCTCTCCTGTCCAAGTTTAACACTGCAAACCACAGTTTCTCAAAGTGGTCACTATCGCCCCCCAGTCGGCGCTGTAGAGTTCTAGGGCGGTAGGGGCCTCGCAAGCAATTGAGGGCGTTGATGCTGTCCAGGTGGTACTACGGCATTTTGAAAAAAAAACCTGAACTATCTATATAAACTACCCTCCAAGTATACATTTTTTCCTCATGTTTTTTTGTGTTAATACAAAATGTTTTTAATTATTTTTTGTGGCGGTGGGCGTTGAATTTTTTTATCATTCCGATTTGGCGGTGAGCCGAAAAGATTGGGAACCGTTTTTAGAGCATACGGCATAGAATTGAAATTATCTTACCAGTAAGTGTCAAGCTTCACTTACTCTTGTCTTTATACCACTTCAGTTTTATTATTGAAAATAATCAATTTTATAATGATTTCGCTTTGGACGTATAATAATTGCAATGTAACTCATTCAAGGCAAAGTTAACCAAAGGGCTAGTGAAAGGGTATCCAGCCGTGGTAACTTTTATGGTTTGACCTCTCGCCTTTCAAGAAGAGGGTCGTGCTTTCGAACCAGGGCTTGCACCTCTGATTTTTTCGGAATTATGTGCGAAATACAATTTGAAATTTACCATTAGCTTTTCGTTGAAGGAAAATCACAGCATCTGCACAGCAATGTAATGACGCGTGTGAAGCATATGTGAAGTTCCCGATCCACATTGAGCATGCGTGGGAACTACACAAGCCCTCTCATCGTGAGAGGAGACCTGTGCCCAGCATTGGGACTACATATAAGCTAACTATTATTACTATTACTAGTGAAAGGGTAAAGGAAAATGGAAAACGGACAAACATGATTGTGAAAGGTGTAGCTAGATACAAAGAAGATTATGCACACTTTCTAAGCTCTATTTATTTGAATTACGGATATTTGAAGTAAAATTCTCATTACGTAATGTTTAAGTGTCTCTGGAAATATTAACTCATATCTGCAAATTGCACAAAAAGTACATCTAACTTCTATGTAGTGAAAAGAGGGAAAAAGAATCAATGTTAGATAGGGGTACGGATTATTTTTTAACCGACTTCAAAAAAGGAGGAGTTCTCAATACGACTGTTTTTTTATTTGTATGTTACACGATAGCTCCGGGAATTTGTGAACCGATTGATGATTTTTTTTTTTAAAGAGGGTACTTCAGTAGTGGTCTCATTTAAATTTTAAGAAAATATCCACCTCAAAGGGTGGCGCCACCACCACCATCAACCCATTTATATGTTCCACTGTTGGACACGGATTTCCTCCCAGGTGAGGGTTAAAACCATAGTCCGCCACGCTGGCGCAATGTGGGTTGGGGACTTCACACGTTTTCCGAGTGTTGTGAACCTTCTTCAACGTGCAGATTCATTCACGATGTTTTCCTTCACCGAAAAGCTCATGATAATTTCAAATTAAATTTCGCACATAAATTCCGAGAAACTCAGAGGTGCGAGACCGGATTCGAACCCACATATTACTAATTATATTACATTCATTATATTTGAATCACAATTGAAGTCACATTAATGAAATTTTAAATAATGTTCAAATGCACAACACGTGTGTTAAGCATTTCTCACTTTTATTCGGCAAATCTTGTTACTCACTAATCAAAATAAAATCCTAGATATAGACGTCGCTTGGATGATCTATGATGATCTTATTAGATGATCACTTTATGTGAGTAATGAGCTTTGCCGAATGAAATGGAGAACTTTAAAACGCTCCCCTGTAAACTTGGCAATTTCGACATACGATACTTTACGTAGGAGGTGTCGATATGTGCTGCTGAGCTCCTTTATCAGCGCTTTTAGGTATAAGTTGAATAGCGTCGAAGAGGTCAGTCCCCCCTGTCTTACCCCACACTGCAATAGATACGGCTCGGCTTTATATGCTACCGTCCGTACGTATTAAGTACCTCTTAAGTATCACGAATTTGCAAAGAAAATTTATAGGCAGCTTCAAATTATTTCAAAATTAAGACTTATTATATATTTAATATATATGATCCTATTCAAACACGGTTTGAGTATCATGAATGTATAAGATCCTATATTCTTAAGCCTGTTTGTGACGAGAAAAATTAAACAACATTTCATTTCACTTTTCAAACCAGGCAGATAATAAAGTTCACTGATATTGGTCAAAGTATGTGACGCTGAGTGTACCACATCACTCTTTCATTATAAACAGCGGTAGCGCTTGACCGTGCAATATCCGCACCGCAACGTTGTACAAATAAAATGCAATCAAGGTGCACAACAACGCTGTAGTCTGTATACTGTACGATATTCATCCACACAGCCAAATGTAACGAAATAAAAATAATAATGGTCAATTTTTTGCCTTTTATAAAGACTAACTACCACCCAAGTTTCAGTTATGTACATAGTTGTCGCATCCTAGGAAAATAAGGACTCCCGCAATTTTTTCAAAATGTATGTGTTGCTTCAGTAATTTAACAAAGTTGTTAGTAACTTTTTTAATGTATCTAATCATTTTATATAACCTCATTATTTATCTAATGGTCAAACTATCCCACAAAAGAAAGTAGTTCTTCAACACTTACTTACTGTTAATTCAGAATGAGCTAGGAAATAAAAGCCTTATTTAAATCAATAATTGGATTACGCACTCATAATTCTTGACAGATCTTGAGGTAGTCGTGAGAAGTAGGTAGTATCGTGCCAAGAAAGCAGGTTGTCGTGATTTAATCACCTATTGTTGGTGACGTAGCCAGCTTCGGCGACAATCTGATGTTTGTATTCCACGTAGGCAATAATAATAGGGAAAAAACGAGATTACCATTTTATATGATCCATATGACGACTTAAAAGAATTTCCCAAAGTACTATCTAAACAAGCGATAGTTTATGAAAACTTTTTATTTATGCTTTCGATAAACATCGCATCCGGCCCCTCATGTTCAGGTAACACAATAACAAACTCCTACAGACCGTTTAGTTCTACTTCCTGTTTAAATCCTCACTTGCCCTTACCTCGTATTTGGTAGGAACAAGATAATGAAAAGAACAAACTAGACTTCCTACTTTGGTTCGGCAAACATTACATGATACAAAGTATACATAGGGTTACATAAGTAATACAAAACATCGGAAACTGAAAACAACCTCGTGTTTTTTTATATTTAAAATTGCTTTTATTTCACATAATGCATTAAACGTTGACAAGATGCAAACAAAGAAATTGCATGCGGAAAGCGTTTTATCTCCGCTGCTCCAGCACACACATCTTCCAACCATCACAATATTCGTGCCTAAGTATCTCCATAAGGCATTATACAATGGAAATCCTACATTACAATTAAATAACTTAGCGACGGCCAACGTTTTCTCAGTATGCATGACCGAACATATTCTGAAGTTCAGCCACTTTCACGACCGATTTCTCTTAGTCTCTCCATGTTGCCTTTGCCAAAATACAGATCTAATAGGTAGATTGTGTAAAGATTATGCATTCCATGACTACCCGCAGATTTACGGTTAAAGTGGCATTCTGGACTTTTTCTTTTGTGCCTCAAGAGCCAACATTTTTTGTTATCCTTTTAAATTAAATGTACAAAAATATTTTATTGTTTCTTGCAAAAAATAGAATTAAACGTTGTGGAAACAATATTAACGGTTTCGAAGTCTTTCACAATAAGTAGCTAACTGTGACGTAAATATTTAATGTGTTTTTGTGTTCAATTAAGAGTTTTTGATATTACGAATGCGATTTGTACAAACTTGTTAAACGTGTCAATAATGTTATTATAATATTATTTATTGCTTTGAGTAGCTTACAATATCGAATTAAGTAGGTACCTACATATTTACGTGAAAACTAAATTTATTTTTCCCTGGCATCTTCATTCGCAGTTTGGCTTGTAATAAGTACACAAATACACTGACTGGTCAGGTAGGTACACTCTTGAAAGAAAAAGTAGACTTTAGAATCCACCCTTATAAAAAAAGCAACTGGCAGGTAGACAGATTAACAAGGCGGGGCGCCGCGGCGGCGTGCCTCAAACAAAGTTTGCAGGAAAAAATTGAAAGACAAAATTGAAAAAAATCGGTCGGTTTTTAGCAAAATTTGCCAAATATAACAAGGAGATTATGTGTGACATGTCCCCTTAGACTTAGAGAATTACTCGCTTTCGTCATACAGTTTATATAGAATTTTTTATTGAGTACAACTGCAATATTTTTCTTTCAGTCTAGTACTAGTTTTAAGACGTTGGTAATTTTGTTACTGTACAAGATAATCACATCAATAGGCGGTACACATTCTTATCTTTTCGAATGATTGCGCAGGAGTTTACTCGTGGAAAATACAGTTACCCGCACATTTTTTCTTGCCATTTATTACGCGCATATTTATGCCGAACGTGTTTAGATTAACGACGCTCCGGCAAGAGTTCCAAAAAGAACTTGTCTTTTTAATCAGCCCCAGTATCAGCTATTTTCTTTACCAACTGTTGTGAATGGAAGGAAATGTTGCAAGTGTTTATGTAGATTTATTGATGACCATCAGAGCGTTATTATTTTGGATTGTTATGTGTTCAATCTAACCGAGCAAATGAATAAGAAATAAACAAATAAACACCTAGTCAAATAACGGTGATACACAAGGTGCATCTGACAAATCTAATCAATTTTATTATACTTTTTGTAGGGTGGTAATTTTTCCACTTACTTTTTTTAAGTTTACAAAACATGTACGGCAAGTATAATAAGATATGTTTTCCCTCAGTACCTCCATAGCGACACCTTAAAAGATTGATTAGTATAAGATATATAGGAGTTAATGTGTATGCATATTTTCAAAATAAGAAAATAAATAGGAATGTAGTAGAGTAATTACAATTTAGCCTTACCTGGATATTACTGCGCTTAACTTCAATACTAAGCCAGTTATCAGTAGAAAAGGCTATTGCCATTAAGGCAGCAGATACGATTGCTGTAATGGTCGCAATGGACAGAGTTACCGCAGAGCAAGGCATTTTTTTAACCTTTTGAGAGACAGTGAAAGAAGAATAAGGAAATATAATCACAAACACAACACTTTGTATATTCCAATAGTTCACCTATACAGCATTTTTGTAAGCACTTTTATGGAACGGAAAAACACGACTGTACACTCACAATATAAAAAAAACTCGTACGAATGCGGTCATCGCCTGCAGCGTACCGAGTTCGCGCGCGAGACTTCTTTGCCTACTTCACGTTGCCTTGTTTCGCCTTGCCGCTCTCTTGCGGATGTGAAACTTTCGAAAGCCATGTAACACCGCCAAGTGGCGGGAATGTAAATTAAAAAACTGGTTATAATGTTGCTATTTTTTAAAAACCACATGACGTGTCGCGTGTAAAAGTAGATTTTCAAGTGTTGTTATGGTATTACTGGGTTTCTTTGTGGACTTATTTTTCTGGTTTTGGTAGAATTCACCAGTGTTGCCAACATAGCGACTTTGTCGCTAGTTTTGCGACATTTTGACAACGAAAGCGACACTTTGTTTCTATTTAGCCATTACTTAGGTTTTGTCTATTAACATTTAATATGATTTTATCTCATTTCATATTGTCTACTCAATGGTAGGATTGTATTGGTCTTTAAGTAGTAAACTATATCCGGACACTGTCGCAGGACACTGAGGGTCGTATTCTAGAACTTTACTCAATGCTCAAGTCAGGACTTGAGTATGATTCAAAGCACTAGAAATCATACTCAAGTCCTTGTCATTAGGGTCGTATTTCCAGTGCTTGAAATCATACTCAAGTCTGCTCAAATCCTGACTTGAGCATTGAGTAGAGTTCTGGAATACGACTCTGTGACAGATCTCCGGTGCTAGTCCTGATAACTAGCAGAGGATAAGCTACATATCCTCCGGTCTATCCAGACACGTAGGAATAATGGGAACTGGAGAGACACTTCGGCGTCGGGAAGTGAGAGAGTTGAATTTAAATTCAACGGCTTTGCGGTGACAACCGTTTATTGTGCAATGCAAACGGGAAGTGAGCATGCCAACAGCTTCGGTACGTGCACCCGGGCTCGCTCACTCAAGGCGCTAGTCTTTTGAGCACCGGCTGAAGTCTGTGACAATTGTGACAATCCTGTCCACGGGCTGATCTGAGTTTTACAATCCCTTGCTTATAGCACTGTAACTTTTCGTATAATCAAGAGGTTGATAGAGAGGGACACTATAATCAAAAGTTAAGTTGAAAGATATAGGCCAGGCCTTCTCTCGTTCTCTGTCCGAAACAATTACTGCCAAATAAGTAATACTCGACCAAATTAAAACATTGTCTTTTAATTTGGTCAAGTATTATTTACGTGACAGTTATTTTTCGGACGGAGAACGAGAGTAGACCCCGGTCTTTTATCTGTGCTATGTATGACCATAAAGTTCTTGCCAATTAAATGAACCTTATATTGAGTATCATAAGATAGCTTTTCCTTTTTTTCCATCCCCTAAAAGTTTTAGGTTTACGAGTCACATGCGCGCAAGTCTCTCCGTAACGCAAAGCGAAAGACTCGTGAATGCCTTTGCGCGGAAAGCATATTTCTACGCCGTGTACCCCGCCAATGCAAGCAAGCGAAAAACGCAAAAGAAAGACTCGTGAACCCCGGCATTAGCGACAATTTATAGCGTTTTTTAAGCCTTCTATCTAGCTACATTTGCTTTAATCTAGTTGGCAGCACTGGAATTCGCTGTTACTTTCTGTCAGTTTGTCTGTCAAATGAATGTCAGAATTGTGTGTTTTGGTTTGGTTATTGATCCAATAATTTTTTTTAAATACCAATAACTTGAAACAAAATTGACAAAAAACAATGTCAGTTATTAACGGAAAATATGATGAAGTTCTAACATCCATTCTCGTGGATGAGAAATCAATTCTCGGCTTCCTGTCTACAATATTCAATTTCTTGGCTAGACGGTATGTTATTTCTAAATGTACAGCTATTTCGAATAAACTTCCAACTTTAGTTGCTTCTTTCATTAATATCGTAAGACTTTACTGTATACTGTAATACCTGTTACCTAGTTATTAAAGCCAAAAATATCTTAAACGAATGTTTCAGAACTGACTTCTACTATATACCACAAGGGCCGCATGAGAACATGGGTTTCCCTCCGGGCGTTGCCGAAGAACTGGTCGTTAAGGTCCTTCGGTCTTGCGACCCTAAAAACTGGAAGCCACCAAACGGAGCTACAAAGTCTACAGACATAAATAATGAGATTATGTGTTCAACAGTAGCTCAGGAAGTCGAGGTCATTGCTGATGAAATGGAAAATATTGATATTGACCCAGTAAAAACAGAAGAAACCATTGTAGATCACAATGAAGTACAGGAAAGTGTACCTTTAGACAATCCGCTCCCTACTTCTGCTGGTATATCAACTGAAGTTCTACCGTCTAGTACTCATGATGTCGATATGCCTAAATCTGATCCAGCAAATGGTATCATACCACCAATAATTCCAACTCAGAAGAACAGTGAGACTTATAATGGTGCTGAGAGGGGAAGCTATTCTTGGTCTCAGACTATTACAGAGTTAGGTATCTAAATTTTCATGTTTTACACATTATGTTAAGATGATCAAGGCATTCTCTACTTGCTGAAACAAATATGTATGTATTGAGAGACTGATACCAGTTCCTGTGCAAGTAGATGTGAGCATGTCAATGTCACATTATAACATTAATTCCCCTTGTGATTGATCAACTTCTTTGGTGAAAGTGTAGAGATGACAATAACGGCTAGTTGTCTATATAAAATTAATGTTATTTTCCAATAACTGTGTTTATTCTGTTGACAAGTAATTTGTATTAGTTAATTGTATGTTTCAGTTGTATTTAAATTGATTGATATTAACTGTTTGTTGTCAATATCAAATATTAAAATCTACAATATTCCAATTACTTGAACTACAAAATTGTAGTTTCAAATAATATGTGACTTATAAGAATAATATAATAGATAACAATGAAATATAAAATGAGAAACAAAACTTTATGTTGTGCACTGAAGGATTATTATATTGTAGGATTCGCCAATTGTAGCATTCGTCAAATCATTTGAGTAGCACCATTTCTCTCTCACAGCTATTTTGAGAGGAGAATCGCGCGTTTGTGAAACACATGATTGCGTTACTACATCGATACAAACGCACTACTGCATTGATTCAGTTGCATATATTGAATCATCATGTGCAAAAAATTACTACAGGTTCATGCATATTTTTTGTTAATTTCAAAGTTAAATAAATAAATTGTTAGTAATTTAATTCATAATGTGCATCACGTTAGTAGCATTGTTTAAAGTCGTGTGTGTAAGGTACACGATTAGTGACTGCATCGCTACTTCTACGTGCTGCTAAGTCACCGTGAGTAACTGCTCTAATGCATTATAATATTTATTGGTTATTGTTATAACGACATTTGTTTTTTTCAGATGTAACAGTGAAACTGCCACCAGAAATAAAATCCTCTAAAGATGTCAGGGTAACAATCAACCCTGGTGACCTCAGTGTGATCTGCCATAATGGCGACATATTGATCAAGGATACTCTGCTTGCCAAAATCAAAACCTTGGAGAGTTTCTGGAGCATCAGTGGAGGAAAGCTATTAATACATTTAGGTATTTGTTTCTGTTGTATATTGCTTTCAATTTCAAAAATTGTGTTATGTGTAGCAGCTGTAGTTTCAATTTGTAGTCCTATCTCATATTATGTTAAGTTTCATGATGAGATTTTAACCAGGGATTAACACACACTCAATGCACACAAGGGATTTAAACCTACATGGAGTATGTCAAACTTTAAAAAATCACTAATAACTTTGGTTTGAATTTCAGAGAAAGTCCAAGAGAGATGGTGGAATAAATTGTTGAGCAAAGAAGAAGAACTAGACCTGTCCAAAATAGACTGTTCCAGAGATCTGTATGATCTGCCTGATGATCACATACAGAAGGTACATAATGCAATATTTATAATGAAGTCATTTTAAACAACAAACTAAGGCCTATATAGGACATCTTTCTTTACAGTAAATATTTAGTTTATTAAAAAATATTTAATGTATATATACAGTAAATATATGTTCAAAATTGATGAAATATAAATTTCAACTACAAAACAAACACTACACCTGGCTTACTTATTAGTCAGTACAACCTCTAAACTTTCAGGTCAGGGAAATCCAGTGGAATCAAGAACAGAAAATGAAAGGTTTGCCAACAAGTGATCAGGTCCGTAATCTGGAGATGCTCAAGAAAGCCTGGAATGCCGAAGGATCTCCATTTAAAGGAAAAGAATTTGATCCGACTGTGTTACAAAATCAAATTAGCATGTAAATAAAGTATACCTTTTATTACACAATATTCACGACTATTTTGATTTAAAACCCAAAATCTGTGACTATAAAAAATTTCATAAAATCTTGTGAAGAATTTTAAGGGACCTTTACATACTAATATTTTATATTAGATACAGTCTAATTAAAATAGTTATACACTCAACATTTAGTAATCATAGACAAGGTAATTTAGAAACCACTTAAGACTAGTTTCCCATACACTTGCTTTTCTTCAATTAGTCTATGAGCTTCCCTTAAATTGGCAGCATTTATTGGACTCATGACCTTTGTCAGTGTATGTTTCAGTCTGCCATCTTCAAACATCTTACTCACTTCTTCTAAAATCTCAGCACGCCTGTACTTATCTTCTGTGTTGTACTTTACTCTCGTTTCCATCATCTCTGAAACTAAAGTGACACTTTTGTCTTTCAGTGGCCTAATATCAACTAATCCACTACAATCCACAATTAGGCAAATAGTCCCTTGAGGCTTGATAATTTTCATCAAAGTATCCCAATAAGGATATGGATCATAATTGATCAAAATGTAATCAACTCGATTTTGATAGCCACAAAGTTCAAGTTGTGGAATCAAATCATGTTTGTGGTTAAGTACAATTTCGGATCCATAAATACTGGTAAAATTTTTAGTTTCAGGGCGGGACGCTGTTCCTATAATTTTCATTCCAATATTTTTTGCTAATTGTGAAGCTATAGAACCAACACCTCCTGCACTGTTTATGATCAGCAATGTCTTGCCTTTGTCCTTCGCTTCAGAGAGATGCATGCGGTCAAAAAGGGCTTCAAATGCTGTAACAGTAGTTAAGGGCATAGCAGCTGCCTCTTCGAAAGAGAAATTTTTAGGTTTTCTTCCGACGCTCACTTGATCAAGAGCTACGAACTCCGCATTTGAACCATTTGTGCTCAAACTTCCAGTAAAGAAAACCTCATCGCCTATTCCGAACGATTTAACTCTCGAACCTTTATCTACTACAATACCGGCGCCGTCCCAACCTAAAATTCTGGGCTGGGACTCAACTTGCGCCTTTGGCGCTCTTTGTTTGGTGTCTATCGGATTAACGGAAGTGGCCTTTACGGCTACGAGTACCTGATTATCCGTAATGTCTGGAATATTCACTTCTAAATCAAGAAGACTGTTAGTGTCCGAAATAGGTAAGTATTCATAAAGCCCAACAGCTTTCATAGTTTTTGGTAAATTTCGCGACATCGTTTTACGTTGAAAAGCACTCTTCTTCGCAAAACTGATTGCAGTTTTCAAAACTAGAGGCCGAATCATTGACTTACTCGCTTATCACTGTGTAGTTACAAATTTGATATGAAATGTTTAAAAATAGCGCGTAGGTATTGTACTCAGGATAAAAAATATCTTGATGTAAATTATATTGACATTTTTTTTATTAATAATTTTGACTTGGATACAAGTATTTTGAGCCATGTCTTCGTTTAGTTATGTGTCTGTAAATATGGCACAAAGAGGACAGGCAGTTTGAGGCGGTGTGCTTGGATTGAATCGGGATTCCTTAAAACGGGCCGATACGGGTATGCGCAGGATAGTGTGTCAGCAGTATCCTGCCTGCGCGACGGGCTGTCATGCAGGTAGTAAATAATAACACTAAATAACTGCATAGGTGCATACGTCTGAAAGTTTCCTTATTTTTTTAATCGCGTACACTGCAGAGCCGAGCCGTTTTGATTACTTACTTATATGGGGACCCCATTGCAATTTAGCATCTAACGTTATACCTAGAAATACAACTGTATCCACAAGACTCAATTTTTCGTTTCTAACTACAATGTTTGTAACCGTCTCTCTAACATTGGGTAATCATTAAGAAGTAAGTTATTAACAGCAAACCAATCAACTATTTTAGATATAGCATTGTTCACATCGTCGTAGGAACATTGGTGCCTCTTAACTTTAAATAATAAGGAAGTATCATCAGCAAACAATACTATCTCATGTTTTATACCCTCCATAAGGCTAGGTAAGTCATTAATATAAACTAAAAACAAAAATGGGCCTAGAATGGAACCTTGAGGGACACCCATGCTAATTGCAGACCCTGATGATCTCGTGCCGTTAACATCGACCCTCTGTACCCTAACACGCAAATACGATTTAAGAAGGTCGAGATCACGTCCCGCCACACCATAATGGCGATCATCATTGCGCAATCATCTGAGGACTAGACAATTCTCAATTCAGCCCGATGAGTTCGCTTTACCAGCTAATGAAGCATTGTTGCTGTCTTACGTGAAGTTCATTAAACATGAGAAAATATGTGAAGAACTATTGTTTGCTAGAAATTTAGAGACCGATAAAACAGGCGAAACCATATTCAATACATTGTAAAAGTTTTGTGATGAGAAAGAGATTCCCTTGAAAAATATTATATCAGTTGCTACGGATGTCGCTCCGGCTATGACAAGGTGCCATAAAAGCGTCACAGCGTACTTAAAAAATAAAATTCCAGATGTCCTTGCTGTACATTGCGTTATTCATAGACAACATTTGGTTGCTAGAAATTTAAGTGAACAACTATTTCAATCACTTCAATATGTCATCAAAGCAGTCAATAAAATCCGTAACAGCTCTTTGAATGATAGATGAATTTCATCAGCTTTGTGTTAATAATGACGAAGATTTCAACCATTTGTTGTTTCATACTGAAGTTCGTTGGCTATCTAGAGGCAAATGTCTGACTCGATTTTACAACCTGTTCGACTCTGTGATAGAGTTCTTGGAAACTAAAGATACAGAATTGCGCAACAAGCTCATTACATCAAATAATGATATAGCTTACATGACAGACCTGTAGAAATTGTTCAACGACATGAGTCTCCAACTGCAAGGCGATGAACTAAATTTAATTAAAACAAAAATGTCGTTGCTGCTTTCGCAGCCAAACTGCTTCTACACAAAAAGAATATGGGCAGACATGAGTTTCACAATTTTCCGAATTTATCGGTATCCTGCAGTAAGGACGACTTGTTTGCCTACTGAAAACATTTGGGAACCTCCACATTGACTTCACCGAACGATACCAGGACATTTTGAACGTGGAAATACCAGACTGGGTGTTGGATTCGTTTTCAAATGTCAACACAGCAATATCACCTCAGCTGGAAGAAGAACTTATAGAATTGACAACGAACGAGGAAATAAAAATCAAGTTCAAAAATGGCTACCAAGAATTTTGGTTACAGAAACCGATCCCGTAATTGTACCCTGGATTTGTTTTCAATTGTGGTCAATCGTTCAACGATTCTTGATAGCATTCCCATCGTCATATTTGTGTGAACGTGGTTTTAGTGCTGTGACAACGCTGCCTACTAAAAAGAAAAATCGTTTGCATGGTACCGAACGTGGTGACTTGCGGCTGTTCTTGAGTAAATTGGAACCTGATATCAACAAACTTATTAAACAGCATCAGATTCATCCTTCACATTACTTTTTATATTAGAATCGATTATGTTTGTTTTATTTTGAATAAAAGATACTTTGTCTGAATACTATAAAGTTGCGTTTCAATAATCATTCTCATTGGCAGGTGTAGCCCGTAAGAGTTAAGAGACCTGGGCGCCATTGTGTAGGTACTACCTGCGCTCAGGTCTCAAGTTAACTCTTGCGAGTTATAGTAAAAGTATCGTTTAGAATGAATGTTTAATCTCCACTAATATAGCTCACAATAATTAATTTAATTTGAAGTTATAGTGGTTTCTACGTAGATGAAAAAATGGGGGCGCTAAATAATAATTCATTCTCAAAGTGGGCAGTAGACAAAATAAGTTTGGGAACCCCTGATCTAGATAGACGCCGCAAGTGTACGTAAGTACTTCGCGAGCCCAAAGTAAGTGAAATTCACTTACTTGCCGCTGCTACACTTCAGAACGCGCTCGACTGTTATCGTAGTTAAGCACCAGTCGAAAACGCGAAAAATGCATAATTGTGCCATTATAAACTGCAAAAGCACCATAACTGTGGGTAAACAGGTAAACAGAGACGTTTCCTTCCACGGGCAGGTGATTTTGTAATGAAAGATGTATAATTTATTTTAAAAACTAAAATAATCAGTTTTGTATGAATTTCAAATATGCAACAGTGTGCATCATGATTTGTAATACATTGCGGATTTTACTTGGTGCGATATATTTGTGATCCTTTGTTAATACGCCATGAACATCGAACGAACGCAGTTTTGTATAATGCATTCAGTTTCGTGATACGGCCGCTTGTACATTCTTTTGACCAAATTTAACATTTAGTGATGTATACGTTAGGCAACACTGTCTCGATTCTGGGGGTCTACTCTCGATCTCCGTCCGACATCCGTTCGAAACAATAACTGTTAAATAAGTAATATTCGACAAAATTAAAAGATAAGTATCAAGTATGAAGCTTCATTCGCATCACGCGTCTTTTCATTTGGTCAAGTATTGCTTATTTGGCAGCAATTGTTTCGGACGGATGTTGGACAGAGATCGAGAGTAGACCTAGACCTTATTGGTTTTTGAAAACAAAGGGACGAAAATTATTATGACCTTAGCAATATTATAACAAAATTCTATAACTCGTTTGTTATAACGTTTAGTAACGTTTACTTTTTTTTCAGTTTTGTAGTATCTATTATCAGTAGTATGTGTAATTTCGGTAATTTTTGCAGCACGTTGCGTCGAATGTCCGAAAACCTGGAGTTGGTCACACGTATGAGTTCGTAGCTTTCGAGGACGAAGGTGGTCTAGTTTATCCCACTTAAGATGCTATCCAAATATGCAGTGTAGCAGAGTTAGAGATCTGAGAAATAATAAACAAATCACAAAAATTTCACACGAGGCCGTCATTAAGTCAAGGTTGACTTAATGACGGTCTCGTTAATTAGATTTTACCATATTTTGTCAGCAGTAACATTTTCAATCAGAAATGAGGAGATCCGGAGAAGAACGAAAATCACCGACATAGCTCGAAGGATTAGAAAGAAAGAAAGAAAATATATTTATTTGGTCTACATTACATTGACAATAACTACTTTACAACTACAAAAATAAGGAACCAAAAAGGTCACCACTCAGCATGTGCCAGTTTGCTCACGGAGAAACAGACCGGCGCTGATATTCTGTGGCCACCACAACAGAAAGGACACCACCACTACAACGAACATACAATTTAACAACAGACGGATTAGCAAGTTGAAGTGGCAGTGGGCAGGGCACATAGCTCGTAGAACTGACAGCCGTTGGGGCAGAAAGGGTCTTGAATGGAGACCACGAACCGGAAGGCGTTTAGTGGGACGGCCCTCTACTAAATGGACGGATGACCTGGTAAGGGCGGTGGGTAACTTATGGATGCACGTCGCGTCCGATCGGCTGCTCTAGAAATCTTTGGGGGAGGTCTATGTTCAGCAGTGGACGTCTTCCGGCTGATATGATGATGATGAACGTTTTCATTTGTCTTGCCATTCATTAATTTGATCAATTACCAACAGTCGCAAGTTCATATATATTGACTTCCATTTTCATTATTTAAGTTAATCGATAAGATCTTCTATTACAAAAAGATGTTATAAGTTCATTTTATTGGAAGGACAATAAATTTAATATTTGAAGTCGATTAAAAATTAAAGTCTTAATTTTTTTAAGTAATCAACATTTTTTTAAAACAAGTAAATTAAAGGAGTAACTATCGTATTATAGTATTTTTTTACTATATTAATATTACGGCTACTTGTAAACAACAAATACTTGGAAAAAAAATTCTATGCAGAATCTCTTCTATTTATTCAGTTCAATCACGGATCAGAGACATGGTCCCTCACTATGGGCCTTATAAGAAGGGTCAAGGTCACTCAGCGGGCAATGAAGAGAGCGATGCTCGGTATTTCCCGACGTGATAGAATCAGAAAAGAGGAAATCCGTAGGAGAACTAAGGTAACCGACATAGCTAGAAGAATTGCTCAGCTGAAATGAAAGTGGGCGGGGCACATAGCTCGGAGAACCGATGGCCGTTGGGGCGAAAAGCTTCTTCAATGGCGACCGCGCACTGGACGACGCTCAGTGGGTAGGCCCTCCACCAGATGGACCGACGATCTGATACAGATTGCGGGAAGCCAATGGATGCGGGCAGCGCAGGACCGATTGTCATGGAGATCGTTGGGGGAGGCCTGATGATGATGGTCAAAAGGCATGAAGTTAAGCCATAACATTAAAACTGAGTTAATTCCTTATAATAATTCCTTCAAACTGGAAATGTACACTGTGTATCTCCAAGACACCTAAAGCAGGTAACAGCGAAACCCCGGTCAAAAGTTGTTTGTTGGAAAATTTCGAAAATC